TTCGCGACCGCGCGGGATTGCGCAATGGCAGTACAGTCAGGAAATTTTTGTTCAATAAAATTTGAAGTGGACGGAGATAGCCGGTACAAAATACGGAGTACGCACGAAAGTTGTATGTATCGAGGACATCAGGTTACAGAACTATACCCAAAAAAGACAACAAGAAGGATGGAGGAGAACAAATGGGAGCCTAAAGGCAACTGGAACTGGAATGACGCAGAGAAGGCCATCAACATGGCGTATGAGTGAGAGAGAAAAAAGAAGTCGGCAGTCATTCAGAAACGCGATGGCATGTCGCAAGAGCATCATTTTTACTCAATGTTGTCCCCTTGAACTAGAAACAAGTTCTCACCTGAGGTTTGTTTGTATCCGAAGGCTCATAATTGAACACCGTAATTTGCCTATAACGAGTAGTAAAGCGTGGAATGCGGCGCATAATCGTGTATTTTACCCACATCCACATAAATACCAAACATGTACCAGAAACCACAACTCCAATAAGAAGAAGGACTGTAAAGGAAACATCACCGCCTCAGAGCTAGTTCCATCAGGGAATGAAGAAAGCAATAGAAAACTCACATAACCTTGCGATAGAGAATCGTTCAACATTTGTAACTGATTTAATAATGGCGAAAGCTGAGATGCTGAACAAGAACAGGAGAAGAGAAGCGGTGCAACAGTACTGGTACCGGTATCTCATGAAGAAATCTTTTAGAGATCCGTACTAAAATGTGTTGAATGAAGAGATTCGCCAGGAGATGAAATGAGAAAACATCTACATGTTGTCGTACCTCACGATATTGGTAGTGAACTCCACACACTTTACATCGACGTTCAGTGAGCACCCGGGTGGCAATACACTGATGGTGGCAGGTAATACTAAAGACAAACAATTAAACAGAACAAGCTGTAGGTAACAATGCATATTTCACAGTTCCCACTGGAAGGAACGCGAGGGTCTGTCCGATGTGAAAATCTATGCTTTTTATCTTCCGAGACTAGTAGGTCACGAGTTAGCCGGTCTTGGAAGAATATAAGGCTCGGTCGCACAGGAAAT